CGCAGTAGCAATTTTTTCTCTTCCTTTGCCCCAGAGCCAAACGTTTGACCATTTGTTTCAGTTGCTGAGTGAAAAAGAGAGACAGAGCGTGAGAGTGGGAGGGAGGGAGGAGAGGCGGCTGGGGCTTCCTTTTCATTTTTCCATGTCATGTGTCAGCGTCTCGTTGGCCGCTTCCGCCCAGCGGCAATCACAGACGATGCACGCTGGTCGTTGTATGCAAATGCGAGTATAAATGGATAACTCCATCATCGCAATTCATGCCACTGCCATGGCCATGGCCACTGCAGCAGTTGCAGCTGCAATTCGCTTTTTCGGGTGCGAGTAAGTGGCGTTCGGTATGGCAACCGCGAAGAGACTGTCGCAACAATTGTGCTTGTGTTAGTTGAAGTTCCCTTTTGGTGTGAGCCTGCAATTCAGTCAGTCACTCCGTTAGTCAGTCTGTCCGTCAGTCGGCCCGTCAGTCGACTCGAGCCGAGTCGTATCTGTCCTGCCATATCCTGGCCTTGTGTGCTTGCTGCAATTTGGCCAACAGCTGAAATTATGCAAAACGGAAAAAATGGCATGCGAACTTGGCATAAATCAATAGAAAATTTATACGTTTCACAAAAGCGAACAGTTTTAGTTTAGCAACTGCAGACGACAGGCAGCCCAGCCCCATCCAACCGGGAATATCGGTGATCATATTTCGCCTGGCATTCAAAAGGTTTTTTATGCTCGTTTTATCGTGCCACTTGCAAGCGGCATTCTGACTGAGGTTTGCGATTGAGATTGGAATATGCTAATTGATATCACAAATATGTAGATCGTATATTTTTCACTTAATTAAGTTGTTTTCATGAAAAAAGTAGAATTTAAAGAGCCACGTCTAGTGGATTATTTCCATAATGACCTTTCCTTAATAGGCCACATGACGTTAGCACGAAGCACTTACAAAAAGTCTCAATAAACTTTAATAAACTATATCAGTTCACAATTAGTCCCAAATGACACACTTAAAGTTTTGTTAACGGAGCCACCTACTTAATCTCCTGAGTGCTCGACTTAAGCAAAGAAACAGACAGTTTGTTCAGATAATGTGTGTGCGTGTGTGTGTGAGTCTGTGTGTGCATACCTATGTGAAGAGCCCACGCACACACCTACACTCACATGTAAATAAGCAGGTGGGTTAATTATTATGTAACTGCATTACGCTTTTGACAAATGACAAATTGCTTGAGCCTACGACGTGGTTATCGTGTCATAAATATATATATGTATGAACGTAAATACATATATTTTCTATGCCCACATGTATTCGGGGGGTTGGGGCCACAGTCAAGCATTTTTGACATAACATTAGTGCCACGCCCACACGCACAAAGGCGCCAGCTAACAAATAAACAGCCCTTAGGTTAAACTTTTTGATATAAGCTCCGAAAAATTACCCAACACTTTGGCATAGGTCATTTATCATTAAAAATAGCCGCACGGCAGCAAATGCGTAATTATTGGGAAGGACTCGAAACGCCGGCTAAAAGGCCCATTCCTAACGTCTCGAAGCAGGTGAATGATTGAATGTGTTTCATCAAATATGTAATATGAATTATAATTTGTACATATTCGCGGCTGCCACATTTAACCCATGCTCTCGCTGGCCCCCAGCCCTGCACAACTTATCGGCTGTAACGGCAAATATCGCGTGTCTAGGGAAAATCCAACATTTTGTTGCGCTGGGAAACAACAACAGAGGCAACAATCAGCGACGAGCGAGCGACAACAAAATGAGCTATAGAACGCGCACCAGAAGTGCCGATTTGAGGTTTGACTTATAACGGCAATATACACACACACACACCCACACACACACACACACACTCAGGGTAGCACAAGCACACATGCTAGTACGTATCTAGCCATGCATATGGGACCTAACTCATATCTGCTTCTTGTCAGGAACTGGGGCATAACACACTCAACGCGGCATAAATTAAAATTTTGTTGTGCCTGAAGTTCCCAGTTCTCGGCTCACAGTTCTCTCGTCATTTCACAGGTCCACAAGTGAGACACGCACACAACAGCGCAACAGCTGTATATGTATGTGTGTGTGTTGTTAGTGAAAATACTCAAATTTTATTGCCCTACTCGAGTCACGTTATGATTATGATTCGCTAGCTATGCAAAACCCGAAAGCCGAGTGCCAACTGGAGAGCTGGATGTATTCATTTGCTAATCAAAACAAATGAAAACAACATGAATTATGGCCAAAAGGAAGCAGCGGCTAATAAGGGTTAAAGCCGCAGTGCTTAACATCCAACATTCCCCAAAAAAAAAAACGAAGCAAAAATACCACTACACACACACGTGTGTATCTGTGTGTGTGTGGAATCCTTCAAATGTGGTTTTTGCCCTGCGACATGCGTAATTAGAATATATGGCGCTGAGTTTTTAGCTCCATTTGCCCCCGGGCACCGCTGCCTTTTTGGCTTTTTCTTTCGGTTTCGGGTTGGGTCTGAAACTATTTAATACCGCGACGCTCTTTGCCATTTTCAAAGCTCGGCTGTTTGATAATTAATGAAGTCATAGTGCGGCGTATGTCTAAAGTTAAATTCTGTGCTATCACGCAATTGTTTGACGCGACGCGACGCGACGCGTTACGCCTCGCATTTGCTGTCTAGGCTAGCAGCACATGTTCGCCTGCCACGCCCACATTTTTGCAAGTTTTTTATGTAATCGTAAAGATATTTTTATGATTTCATAATTTTACAGTTTTGGTTTGCGGAGAGCCAGAAGTTTATGGCACTGCATACCCGTAGCTAGCGCCAATTTGCGTCGTCTTATACCCTGTTTCTTCTCAGTGTATGAGGCGAGTAGTATCAGCTTATGGTGCTCTTTTTGTTGTTTTCTATAGCACTATTGTTACTCATTGCATGTACTAACATCGCTTATGTAAAAACTGATCCTGATTAAGTAAGAGACTTTCCCTGTCTTTAAGCTTTACACGTTTGGGTTTTAGTATTAATTGATTTCTGAGTCTTCAAAGTCATTATTACTTTGCTTAATAATTTAATTTATAATTTATAAAATCACTTCATATCTTTTTGATTCCATTTACAAATCTATTTCAAATCCTTAAGCTTAACTTGTTCTCTGTTAATTCTCTTGCCTATCGCAACTTTAAAGCGACTACAGAATATTTGTGAGTGCAGCATACTCTCGCATGGCTTTCGGCTTTTATTGCTGTTTTTGTAGAGAGAGCCATGATTTTTGTTTTATTTTTTTATGGCTCGTAGCCTTCTTAGTTAGTTCTACAAGTTGCAGATTTGAGGCACATGAAAGAACCAGAGCGACAGTTTATCTCCGGCTTGGCTCGGCTCGCCGCGCAGCGTGTATTTTAAGATTTATGCAAAATCATATTTATCAAACGGAAAAGAGGCGAAAAATGAAAGAAAAGTCGCTGTGTTGTGCACGGCAAGCCAAAATGGAATCACAGCGGGCCGTTTCTATTTTGCTTCTATTTAAACAAGGCGCCCACCGGGCTAACAACTCGTCGGCTTGTTGGGGGGCAGGGGGAGCACAACACACGCTGTGAGTGTGAGTATTTGTTCAAGGCCTGGTCTACCTCATGGCAGAGTCAACAGCAACAACAACAACAACAATCACGTTAAATGCGGCTGCGACAGAAAGGACAACGCGTGCACAGCTTGAAAAATGTTTGTTGTCAACATTTTGAGTTTGCATCGTTAGCTTAAAAGTGTGTGCGTACAATGGGCAAAAATCGATAAATGAGACAATGTCCGTGATTTTGCCGTACAAAGAACTTTCATTCACAACCACACAAATACACACACACACACACACACATGCATGTGCCTTGTCATTGAGCCATAAGAATTTAATATTCTATTTGGAGAAATGTCTCTAATAAGCTTGACAGCCTTTATATTAAACGGTATGCTTACTCCAATGGCAGACTAAATACATATATATCTTGTATTTTTCATTCATATTTTAATTAGAAATTCTTATACAATGATACTTTCGACTGAGTCAAGCAGCTGCCTTAAGCTCATGCTGTTTATACCCTGCCTAATTTAAATATGCACATATTGTTCGGTCAGCTGTCAATACTGACTCTATTGACTGCTCACACTTATTCATAGCTAAATTTATTTATATATATTTTATTTGATGCCGGCTTGACATCAATTAAATTTCATTAAAAAATTTTTTATTTTTTTTATTTATTTTTTAATCAATCAATCACAGATTTACAGTCGTTTTTTGTAAAATTTTTAACAATTTCAAAATCAATAACTAATTCATTTCCATTGCCTTCATCAAGTTGTCGTGCAGCAAATATTGTGTAAATAAATAAAAGTATCACCTAGCCAAAACACTTTCTCACGAAACTTTTGCTTGCAGCTGCTTGCGTCACAGTAGCTGCGCGATTTGGTCCACTTTTTGCAAACACGCCCGACGCCACACCCAGAGTCGGGGCAAAGTTATGCCAAACTCTTGCAATTAAACTGTCAGACTTATGAATTCATTAAATATTTAAACTGTAGATTTTGAATAATTAAAATTCCATTTATACAAACATATAATATGCCCGCCCCGGCTGCAAAACTCAAGCTATAAATCTGCGATTAATTAAAAAGACTCCTGCCGCATGTAGCGCCCGTCTGGCTGGCTGCCTGACTGGCTGCCTGCCTGGGCGTATACGTAATGGAAATATAACTTAATTACAAAAACATAACCAAAATCCAATTGCAAAACGCTTCTGTTGGCTGTCGGTTCGTTTTTGTAACGATTTTTTACCCCAACTTTTATATCGAAACTCTTCCGTTGAACTATTGTCTGGCACGCTGTAAATTTATGCAAATCACAGCGCTTAAGGTGTAGCGAACCGTGCGGGATGTAGTGCTCGGCTTTTGTTGTCGCACGTCGAATGCTTTGCTATTTCTATGTTTTTTCTTTTCTTCTTCATCGGTCTATAACTTTGGGTAGTCGCACTCACTCACCTGGATCATCGTCGTCGTCCCAATCGATTTGACCAGAAGTAATATTGATGTGCGCTGCGAGTAGAAGCAGTGTGAATAGCGCCAAATGGCGCTGCCAGATGCCTTTCGAGGAGGAAGTTGTTATGTGCATTGTGGAAGTCCTTGCCGTATCGTTGGTTGTGCGGAAGCGCCAACTGGAGCTAGTTCTAGTCGCAGCCTTGAATTTCAGCCAATGCATTTCTAATAAAATATTACAATTTATACCGAAAGCGCACGACTTCTTCTACTACTATTTGTTCGCTATTCGTTACACGTTATTCACGTTATTCACGTTATTCACGTTATTCGTTTTTCGTTATTCACTATTCGTTTTGCTGCAGTAGTTTATATTTAATTTTGTATATTTTTGTTGCTTTGTTTTTAGCTTAACACATTCACTCGCGCCGTCTAACGAGCTGCGCTTGAGGCTTGCCTTGGCTTGGGCTCAATGTTTGGCCGTGCCCTGGCTGCATTTGCAGCAGCAGCAGCAGCCGTTTGTTTTGGCCTTAAACATTCTCCTGCTTTGCACTAATGAAGCGAAATGAGCAAATATTTCTTGCAACTCCCTCCAACACACTCCTTCGTTTCGTTTGCTGCAGTGTATTCGGCTTTTTGCTCGACTCGCGCAGCAACTAATTAAGTTGTTTCATGTACAGTTTTTTGCCTTGAGCGCAAGTTTTGTGCTTTTGCAGTCGTTGCGCCACAGCAACGTATTGAGGTGTGCGCAAATTGTTGCATTGTTCAGTCGCACTCAGAGTCGCTGCATGTAATCCAGCCACAAGCTGCTTAAAAGAGAAAGTAGAGGAGAGAGAGAATGTGAGAAAGTGTGTTGAAAAAGTAAGAGTTAATTATGATTTGCTACCCTATAGACAGCTAAAAAAAACAAAGATGATACTTAGTAAGACCCTGTCTTAAGTGCATTAACAAATTAACTGCTTGTCAGCTGCCCGAGCTCGATTGAGTGGCTTGCATGTTGTTCGGTTGCGGCTTAAGCTTAATCGCTGCGAGACATGCAACTAAACTAAACACCTTCTCGCCAAGCATTAATGGAATCAGTGTTTAAGCAAGGTGACACTTTATTACAATTGTACGTTCTCTAAATTATTGATATGCAAGGATATTTTCTTCCTCGAAGTTGCTCTGAATGGAACATGCTTTTACTGCTATGCAATATATTAAGTATACGTATATGGAATGTATCTTTGTCTTTGCAATAAGTAAAGGGCAAAGTTCTTGTAAATTATAAATAAAGGAAATATTTATTCGGTGCATGGCACCGACTCATGACCCATGTGAAATATATTAAGTATACTCATATTACGTATACTAATAATAAGATTTTCAATTAGTTACAGCAATTGTTCTTTTTGTAAACTATTAATGTAGGATATAATACCGATGGTGTACATAAATCTTATAGTCTTATACTAAAGTAAAATATATTAAATATACGCATGCTAATTATACTAAAGCTAATATTTCTTTAGACAGTTGCCAATAAGTTGTTAAGCTGCTTCTTTACAAAGTTGAATATAGTTAAATATATTTTGAAAATGTTTCCATTCAGATCAATAACTTTGTATAGCAATAGCTAGCTCATCAGCTTCACCTGAATACATTATATTAGCTCTCACTCACTCAAAAGTTTTATTAAATATTAATTTTCAGTTTAAGCGTAAGAGAAATAGTTTTGTTAATTAAAATTGATTACCATAATTTGATGATTGCCCACATCATATCATAGTTGACGCACGGAAAGAGCTACTCCACTACGACTGCTACTTGTTAATGAAATGGATATAAGTTTCACTTTTCAATGCAGGATTGAGACACTACAATGGGGCTCGGCAGCCAGTAAGCCAGAGCTCTGGCAAGGCGTGCAGCCAAGTGTTGCCTGCTGTTTTGTGGGTAGGCGGGAGTAGAGCTGGGTTTATATGCACGCCCCAACGCCCACTATCCGCAGCGACTAATTTGCTGTAGTTTTGGGTGCTCTCAGCCGCTGCCTGCCTTATTATGCGCACTTCAAACTTTAGACAACGCGGCAGCAGGAGCAGCACTAGCAACAACTGCACTCAACTGGGCTCGGTATCTGCCACAGTGTTGTTCATTTTTTGGCAAGCTTCGCGTGCCGCGCGACGCCGCATCACCCTCGAGCCCTTAGCCTGGCTGATTTTTATTGCAGGCAGGCACTCACTCAAATTTTCGAGTGCGCCAATGCAGCTGCAGCAAAATGTTGTATAGTTTTCGTTTAATTTGATGCCATTGTTGTTGCTGCTAGCGAAACTGTGTCGCTAAAGTTGCTCGTCGGACTGAGTGGGGCGCCGAAACACAAGTGAAAACAGAATAAATACAAAAAAAGGAAAAATGAAAAAAAAAGGAGACGGCAAAATAGGAAAAAAGTTGTCTGCCAAAATCAGCGCCACTTTTGCCACAGACATTAAGCGTTGCATGCAAAATTACCAGCGAGTGGTTTGTATTTCCACTCTGATTGTTGTTTAACATGGTTACATTGTCCTTGCAACTGAATCCTGTTCGGCAGTTATTTTGGTTGTACTTGCAACGGTGCATCCATGTGGCTGCTGCTGCTGCTGCTGCTTCTTCTACTCCAGCTCTAGCCCTTGCCCGCGGCTGTGGTTATGCATCATGTCATGCTCTAGTTGCAAAACTTTTGCTGTTTCGCCTTTTTTTATTTTATTTTTATATGTTTTTTGAGTTTTTTTCTGGCTTTTTTTATCGCTTTATATATATGCATATGGGACAAGTGGCATAAAAAAGTGCAACAAGCAGCTAACTATACATAAATTTGTTTTATGCACAACACAAACTTTTGCACATTTGTTGCCAAAAAAAAAGAAATAAAAGGATAAGATGAAGAAGTAGAAAGTAGGAGAAGTTCAACGTAAAGTCTAGAAAATAAAATGCATCAGTTAGTAAACAGGATCTTTTGTTGGGCACCTGCAGCATCAACTAATTTGTGCTTAGACAAAGCCAAACGAAGTGAGCAAAGTTTGTGCAGCTTAACAGTTTTGGTAGATGGCATACAGCAGCATGTAGCATGCTACACATGTAACTAGTTGCAGGTTACTTCATCAACATTTCACGCTCGACTTGGTCAAAGCAGGCTAGAAGAAACGACTGCTGCCGCCTGCGCTGCCAGGCACGCAGTAAAAATGTACGCCTCGTGCCCCATGCCGCATGCCGCATAGCACATGCCACATTTGGTCTAGTTGCCTGCCGCACCTGGCCAAAAACTCTGCCGACAAAATAAACTCTACTCAACTGTTGAAAATCAACTGGCGACCCCTCAGCGCACACGGTTCGTGCCCAACACGTGGCCCACAAAAGTTTGCAATCAATTTTTATTTTCGTTTTTTTTTTTTTCACTCGGCCACCGCAAATACTTGGGCAAACATATTGAGCGCTGGAGACCTAAGCTTCTTCCAACAATCTATGCAACAGACCATGGAACATCAATAAACTGAGCTCGAGCTCTGCCATATCAGCCAACTATAAAAAATACTCAAGCGATTCGTCAGCTGTCAGGCAAGAAGCTAGCATAGTCAAGAACGTAATTGCTGAATGTGATCAAGATGCTTTCAAAGAAATAATTCCATTCATAAGATTTTGCTTCAAATATGCAGTTCACTGAAGATTCAAGTTGAACATTTTTATAAGCTTATATAAAATCTATATCGCAATGAATTTCCCTTTAAATTTCTGTTTTAGTACAAAAATTGGGCAACTTTTAATAGGAATTTAAAAGCATTTATAATTATTCTCAAATTGAACGAACAGAAATGTTTCTTGCAAACGTAAGATTCATATATTATTATAAATAAATTATATAAATATTAATTTTAATTTTAAATTATATAAATTAAATAAATTATATAATATTATATAATATATTCATACATATATATTATAAATATTGCTTGGAATTTCATATTACATATTTTTTTATGTGATGAGTTAATGTATTTATGAGCATAGCCATTTAATTGCAGCATCTTTATCTGAAGAGCTTATTTTCCAATCAACAAGACTCCAATTTGAGGCACAACTTTGCGCTTGAGTATTGTATATATTGAAACACATATAGGCAGACAGAAATACATTATATAAGAACTAGTTTGAGTTAGCTATTCGTTGGATTTCTTTAATTGAATTTGAATCTCAGTAATCAGTTAACTAGATCTGCCAAGTTTTGAATGCTGGGTATTTACATAAGTTTACTACCTTTGGGCCAGGCTTGTTGGCCATTTGCAGCCGCCTGAATGTCTGCTTTGTTGTTTTGTCTGCACGTGCACACACATACATACCTGCGTGCGTGTGTGTGTGCTTGTGCCAGCAGTTGCCGTAGCCCAGTTTCCATTTCGCACTGCTATTTTACCAGCAAGTTAAAGTGTTTCTCCACGCACTCCAATAAAAACATTTGCACGCACAGCCACACACACACGCACGCCTATGAAGAGCTGGCCAGGACTATGCCAAGTTGAACCATTTGAGAGCTGCCACGTTGTGTTGTGTGCCAGTTTCGTGACGAGCAACTCTTGCGTTACGCATACGCCGCATGGCCCCACCGATGTTGGCGCTGATTGCCATACACTGTGTGTCTGTGTAGGTGGTGGCTGTGATGGCTGGCTCTTGGACATTTATTATGTTTATCTAGTATTCAATTTGGCTGGCAACCTGTTTACCAACATTTGCATCAATGTTTGCCCCATGCGGCATATGCTCGAGTGTTTAATAGCCTGCATGCCAAGTGGCTGCTGTCATCAGCAGCTGCCAGGTTCAATAAAATCTACGAAATGAATCGCCAGCTTGTGTCCATGTATATATTAAGCCATTAGTTACACTTCACTGACTACGTGGCCTTTAATAAATATTAATTGCATTAATTCAATGCTAATTAAAAACCGATAACAAATCCAAGCGTGCTCAAAGCAAAAGCAGCCTTAGTCAAGTGTGTGCGTGTGTGCTTTTGTTTAGCTGAGCATCAGTCTGTGTGTGTGTGTGTGAGTCTTTGTGCCTGTGTGTGTGCGCGCTCCTTTCAAGTCTATAAAAATAACTGAGGACCCCGCATAAGAAATGATATAAGGGTTTAACACAGTGTCAGAGCGAAATATGTCAACGTTACTTAAATTTACACATTAACATAGCATTTAAAATGCCACGCCCACCTGCCTGCCCACGACCTCTGTCGGCGAGCTGTCGGCGCTCAGGTGTCAATGCTGTAGCCAGCGTCAGGTAATTGCCGTCAGCTTCTTGTTGCCATTACAATTCTTGTTGTGCA